AATTTGACATCTGGACAATGTAAATGGATTCTCTGTGCCCTTACTATGGCCAAAAGACTGACATTGCAGCACTGGAAAGATAAATGAATGGCCCCGTTTATTCAATGGATTGAAGACCTGATTACATTTGCCACTTACGACCGGATTGCCTATAGACGTAGACTTCGTATGGGCAAGTACAGTGAAATATGGGACTCATTCATACAAAATACAGTAGGTTAAAAAAAACGATAGTCATATAACTCTGTTAAAAATATATATGTACTTGAATAATATTTGCATTAGATAAGCATATATAGAATTGAAATTGTTTGTTGTTATAATGATATATGAACACTTTTTTTGTTGTATTTTTTCACTTTTATGTTAAAACAGTTTTGGGTTTTTTTGTAATCGAAAAATTTAAAAAACAAATTAAAAAAAAGATCCTTACCGTAAACATTAACTGGCAGCCTCCAAGGATGTAATCCAAAAAGGAGTAATCTCGGGTGATCTTAAAGATGAGGTTAAAGATTTGAAAGGAGGAGAAAAGAAAAGGAGAAAGAGAGCAAGTTAATGCAATGCAAGACCACTTTACGAAAGACTCCTTTATTGCTTTATTCTAGTTTGAATCCCCCGGCAGTCATCACATTTCCAAAGACTGTGGCTGGATTTACACCACACATTTATCTTTAAGCCAAGGGAAATAAAACACAATGGCTCTGCGGTGTGAAATAGAAATGGTACATCACGGTTTCAAGTGACAAGTAGTGGCTTAGCATCCTACAATCCTCACAACTACTTTTTACCTTTTTTTAGCTCAGCAATGTGGCATATCAGAAGTGGCAGATTGGAGGGGGGGGGGCAACATTGCTAGCGGCGCTGCTGATTTGTGTCAACAAAGGTCTTTCTCGTGCAAAAATTCTCCTTGATTCTGTTTGACACATTTGTCTGAGAAAATCCTTGATGTTCGAAGAGTTACTAAGCTGTCCTCTATAGCAGTGCGTTTCAAACTTGGCAACTTTAAGATGGGTAGACTTCAACTCCCAGAATTCCCCAGCCAGCATGGGGTCATAGCAAGCTGAGGGAAAGTTTGCACACCAGGCTAGCCTACACTAAAATGGGACTGGACGCAGAAACCCTGCTTTTGCATGTTGTGTGAACTAGGCCAATACATGAAACCTTAATAGGCTTTTGGGTGCAGCAAGTACACATACAGCAATTATGCTTCATTAATTGTATCGGGGTTTTGTATGTTGCGTGAACCCAGAACATAGGATAAAATCAGTGTTAGAATGGGAATCAAATCTGGATAATGAGACTGTGTTCTTCCAGTCTGTTTTATCTCATTGCTTTTATTGGTCTCGCTTATTCACTCCTCTGGGCTATATAAGAGGGGGAGAGAGACAGATATGATGCATTGAAATTCTTGGTGTTTCCTCATAATGTAAATGCAAAATGAGAGGCAGAAAGGAATGGTCTTCAAAGCAGGACCCAGAGGCAGTTGATTTGGAGAGGGAGGGACTAGATCCTTGGCCCATTTGCAAAACTCATGGCAGGCCTCGGAGGCTGACAACGGCTTAGCTCCTGGATGGGGTAGTAAAACAACCCCCTTGCAGACCATCTGCTGAAGCTTTATCTCACTCGTCTAATTTGGTTGAATGACAGATTAATCATTTGTCTTCATCCTGGCTTGTCAGAGCTGGCATTTCAGAATTTATTGCATTTGTACCAGAGCTTAGACCCTGCCGTTCTGATGATTAGATGCCATTCTAGAAATCTTGGTATTTCCATGTCAGTAATTATAATGTTAATGCAAATCTGAAAGCAGTTTAACATTTATAATCCATCCAACTGAAAAGCCAAGGTCTGGAGAGTCTAAAGGAGTGAATGACTAAAGAGGTCTTATATTTCAGAACCAGAGGAGATGTTAATTTATTGACTGGAGTGTTGATTTAAGTAACAAAGTGCTTTGGGCACAATCTACCGAGAAGAACTTCATGTGCTTGAGGGTTCTTCACCTGTACTGCTTGATAATATGCCATCGAGTGTGCAGAAGGACTTCTCCACTGCAACACACTAGGGCATTAATAGACTTTTACAAATATCTCTGTGTCTCACCTCTTTTCCTACCTATCCTATGCTCATGGTTATTTTAAAAATATTTCCCTTTCCTGAGACCATAATAGTATTTCAAGTCATTCATTAAATGTTTATTTTTAAGGCAGGGCAAAACTACACATTACACAGCCTTTCCTTCATCCACCCTACACCCTTCCATGTTCTCCATCTAAATGTACCATTCAGAGAAGAATACAAGGATATCCATTTCTTTACATCTTATCTGGAGGGACACAGGAGGCCAGAAGGTTTTAGAATAAAGCCATCAGAGGAGGAGTTTCGGGAAGTGAGAAGAAGAAAATTAAACTCCCCCTATCTGTTTTTCAGCTGTCACATTCCTGTTTTTTCCTTATTTGGAAGCCTACAGAGAATAGCCCCCAACTGCCATCATTTCCAAATTACATATTTCTAAAAAAATCCCAAACAAAATGGTTTCTAAGAAGCAGCTGTTATTAGCCCTCGGGATTAAATCATCACTGTTTCATTAAAGAACTTACTTTGCAGGATTTTACAATGATGATGCCTGAATTCTTGTAGCTTCTTTTCTTCTTCTGTTTTTTGGGATTGATGCATTCAAACTCTACCTGCGTATTAAGGAAGGAAGGGAGGGAGGGAGGGAGGGAGAGAGAGACCATAATAAATGCAGTAATCTTGAATTTTATTTTGACTACTGAAAATATTTGTTGTCCTGTACTTACTGGGAAAGGTAGGATTTGCAATTTCATAACATTTGGGGCGGGGGAGACACCAAGTTGGGGAAAAATGGTTTAAATCACAGATACCCAATACATGGGCTGCAGGATGCCTGTGATCCCCAGTACTCATGTAGTAGTGCCCCTACCACAACCCCAATGGGTATGGGACAAAATATCCAGCTTTTGGGGGGGAACCTGGGGTATTAAGAACTGAAAAGGTTGTGTGAAGCCTGGGCTTTTGAGGTAGAAGTAGTCCTCGCTTACTGACTGCCTTGTTTAGTGACTGTTCAAAGTTAGAACAGTTGGGAAAAAAACAGCTTTGTGACCAATTCTTGCACGTACAACATCGCAGCATCCCACAGTCATGTGACCGTGATTTTCGCATTACACAGCTGGCTTCTGACAAGCAGAAGTCAATGGAGAAGCCAACAGGAAGTTGCAAATCACAATCATGTAATATCTCAATAACCATGGTGATTCACTTAACAATGGAAATGGAAGTGAGATCATAAGTCCAATGTGGTCATGTGATGTTTTGCTTAGTGATCGTGGTGTTTAGCGACAGAGTTGCCGGTCCCAATTGTGGTTGCTAAGCAAGGACTACATATATAAGAGGCAAAACGTCTGGAATCCTGGCTCCACTTACTCCAGTGAAATTCAGCATGGCTCCTGGGCCGAGCAAGAATGAAGAACAGACCTGAGCACGGTAAGAGCTGAATTAATAAACAATGCTGAACATTTTATTAGAGGCTGAACTTTCACAGACAGGAAGATATTAGGGAAACTTATAATCCAGCATATGGTCTGATCCTGCAAAGCCTTTTTTGTTGTCCTAACCAGACTTTCACCTTCTGAAAATGAGGAAGAAAATCTTTTTAAAGAATTGTAATCTTGTCATGATAGAAGAGGGCAGGAGAGCAAAACCACACTATCAAAGGAGACATAAAGCCACAACAGTCTGTGTCACAGCCCATGATGATCTCACAGCCAACATGAGGTTAACATGCATGTGCAGTGAATTTTGTAATTTTCTTCAGCTGCTCATGCAAATGATGCAATTTACAAATTGCACCTTATTTGCATGTGAACATCATGCTGAGTATTTCACATTGTTTGCACTTTAATGCCATGACAGGCGCTTCATGTCAATTACACCTTAATGTCAAGATGGGCAAGACCTCACCTGACCCCCTTGTCTCCCCCCCATGGACCTCGATGGCTCCATTTCTCTTGCTACATCTTCTATCCACACGCAGCTGGATGCAACCCTTAAAGTTAGCTCTGGGCAGCCTCGCTGGCCATAAAGGTGTGCTGGCTTCAGCCCAGAGACTCATGCCAGGCAGGCAATGTAGCAACCCTCATGTTTGCCAGAACTTTGGGAAGGGATGAAACATCTGCCTGAGCTATTTACAGACAGCAACTACATTTAGAAGCAGTCAGCACCGGAGAGGAACAAACGCAGAAGCAGCAGATGAGCGCAGTGGGGCTTCGAGTTGGAATGGGGAAGGGATGTTGATTACTCACTAGGTAAACAAATGCATGTACCCATTTTATTTTTAAGCCTTTTACGCAGAAGCACAAAGTAGGATCGAGAAATAAATAAGCAGCAGTCTAGAGGACAGAATTAAAATTTTGTTCCTAGCCTCCAAAGAGCTTTGAAGTAATAACTGAAAATGGCCATTTAAACAACAGATCTGCTGATGCTTCATGTCCCTTCAAGAGTGCTGAACTTTCCCCACAATTTAGAGACTGATTTTTTTTTCAGGCTCTGGGCACTAAGCAAATAAATTTTTTTTTTAAAAAATGACCCAAATTATGAGATTCTGAAATTCTCCATTAGCTTCCAATTCATGAATGTGCATAGTAGGTTTAAAGCTGGCTGTTTATCAGCTTATGTAATCTTCCATCTGTTGATTTATTTCATTTAGTTGTTAAATTTATATCCTGTCTCTCCAAGGTGATAGAGATAGCACTTCCTCCTCCCATTTTCCCTCGTCGTAGCCCTATGAGGTAGGCTGGGCTAAGAAATAGTGATTGTCCCAATGTCCCACAGGGAATTTCCTTGATTGAGAGGGGGCTACAACTGTCCTAGTCTGGTACTTTAACCACTACCCCACCCATCTCTTGGGCTGAGATGGAAGGCCAGGCCCCAAATCCCCCCAGAAGCTTCCATGGTTGCAGGGGGACTAAAACACTAGGTCTCCTTAGTCCTAGTCCAGCACCTTCACCATGACCCCACAATGACTCTCTGATATTCTGTAATACCAGCTTATGCAAACCAACATTGCTGGTCTCAGCCAAGGTCCTCAAAGAAACAAGGATTGATATTCACAATGAGTGAAAAGTCTGGGCTTTGGCCCAACAAAACATCATCAGGACCTTGAAGAGCTCATGCAGGAAGCTACTGATGAATTAGCTCTTTGAACTTAACCATAGTTTCAACTGGGAAACTGTCAGCATCTTAGATCAAGCTAAATCCAAAAAGGATTTAGGGAATTCCTGGAAGCTTGGTATTCAGACAAGGCAGCCCTCAACAGGCACACAGAGATAAACATCATCTACA